ACCCCCCCCCCCCCCCCCCCCCCCCCCCCCCCCCCCCCCCCCCCCCCCCCCTCCGCCCCCCCCCCCCCCCCCCCCCCCCCGGTAGGCAAACATTTTCTCTCTACCTTCTAGGGCTTTCTTCCTTCTCTCAAGCCTCCTCCCCTCTCCTTTACTCACAGCCGCATATATTGTCCCCATAACTTAGGCCTCTATTGCACACCGCACGTCAGGACTTTCGAAAGGTCACGCGGGTACCTGATTTTCGGGCTTTTTCTCTCGCGTTGAAGCCATGTCAGATCCTGCAGGGTACACTGTGGGCTGGATTTGCGCCTTACCCGTGGAATACATTGCCGCACAAGAGTTTCTCGATGAAGAGCACGACAGACCGAGCTTCGTGTCGCCAAACGATGCCAACGACTATACATTAGGCAAGATGGGCGAACACAACGTCGTCATTGCCGTCTTACCCGATGGTGAATATGGAACAGCTTCCGCGGCCAGTGTAGCGACAAATATGCTCAGCAGTTTTCACAACATCAGGATCGGCCTTATGGTCGGGATTGGGGGGGGTGTACCAAGCGAAAACCATGATATTCGATTGGGCGATGTTGTGGTCAGTGCGTCTCGGGGTAGCGAGAGTGGTGTGTTTCAATACGATTTTGGCAAGTCGATCCAGGACCAAAGTTTTCAGCAAGCACGGTTTCTGAACCAGCCACCAGCTATATTGCGCGCTGCAATGGCAGGTATTCGAACTCAATACGAGAGAAAAGGGCATCAGCTCGAGGAGGCCATCAACGGCATTTTTGGAAAGAACATGAGGCTACGTCGGAAGTACAAAAGGCCAGAGCCAATGACGGATAGGCTGTTTCTTCCCGAAGTTATCCATCACCAAGCAGACTGTGCTAAATGTGCGGTTGATCCTTCAACGTTGGTACTACGGAGTGAGCGGGCCGACGACGAAGATAACCCTGCCATTCACTATGGCCTGATTGCTTCCGGCAATCAGTTAATGAAGAATGCTTTGATTCGAGATCAGCTTGCCGCGGAAAAAGACGTCCTTTGCTTTGAAATGGAAGCCGCGGGGCTGATGAATACTTTCCCATGTCTCGTCATCCGGGGTATCTGCGATTACTCGGACTCACATAAGAACAAAGAGTGGCAAGGGTATGCAGCTATGGTGGCAGCTGCATATGCCAAAGACCTTCTGAAGAGGATCCCTCTCAACAGAATTGAAGCCGAGGAGAGGATAAGTGCTGTTGTGTCTGGTTAGTCTTGTGCAGTCTTATAATTATTACGTCAGCAAATATTGACCTAAGCACTACTCAGAGGAGCTGAAAGGCATCCAACATCGATTAGATCAAGCATATAGTCAAAACGAGCGGCACTTTAGTGAACAGAAAGCAAGAGTCTTAACGGATCAGCAGCGCCGTTGTTACCAAGTGTTCAAGATCGTTAACTACGCGGAGCAAAAGAACATAAACCCAAATCGAGCTAAGGGCACCTGTCGATGGGCTTTCCAGAGCTCTGAATATATCCGTTGGTGGGAGAGCAATTGCAACGACCTTCTCTGGGTGTCGGCTGACCCAGGCTGTGGCAAGTCTGTCCTGGTCAGATCAATAATCGATGATTACTCAGAGACCTCTCATCCAGCTGTGAGAATATGTTACTTTTTCTTCAAAGACAATGATGAGCAGAACAATCTTGCTACAGCACTATGTTCGGTACTTCATCAGCTATTCAGCCAGCAGCCTCATCTATTACAATATGCCATTCCGGCCTGGGAAAAGAATGGGAGGCCGCTCCGGCAAGAAGTTGATGAGCTTTGGCGGATCTTAATAGCGGCAACATCAGCTGATATATCGTGCAAGACGATTTGTATATTTGATGCACTTGATGAATGTCGTGAAACAGATCAGCGCCGATTAATTGAAAAGCTTGAAGCGTTTCATCGCCAGCCATCTTCATCAACGGAGGGACCCTGTTTGAAATTCCTGGTCACCAGTCGTCCCTACGATCATATACAGGATCACTTTCGAGTAATCACCGATTCTTTCCCACATATACATATCAAGGGGGAGGAGCAGAATGATCAAATTCATGATGAGATTGATCTGGTGGTAAGGATTCGAGTGAGAGAACTAGTTGAGACAGTGCCACTATCAACGGAGCTTCATCATCGAATCGAACAGCAGCTGCTTCAAATGGAACACCGTACATATCTTTGGCTACATCTAGCCATTGATGATATCCGCACTACCTTCAAAAACAGCCTTCGGCCTACAGAGGATTTGATCACACTGATTCCGCCTTCTGTGAATGCAGCATATGAGAAGATACTCTGTCGAGTCCCAGCCGATCTAATGGATAGAGTCAAGAAGATTCTAGAGATTATTGTGGCGGCACGGCGTCCTCTGACCATAAGAGAGATGGCTATGGCATTGGGAATTGCTACTAGCTCAGGATCACCAACAACCAAACAGGCTGGGCTAGATCCAATTAATTTGGACAGCAAGCTTCGGCGATGGTGCGGCCTATTTGTCTTTACGAACAACTCGAAAATTTATCTCATCCATCAAACAGCCAGAGAATTTCTTATAGCGAAGAACAATTCCAGCAATCTCAATCCTTCATACTGGAACAGCCTGACTGATGCGGAAGATCAGATGGCTGAGATTTGTTTGAGATACTTATTGATGGAGGATTTAGAATATGATGAAGATGACTCGCGCCCCTATACTCGAAGTTTCTTAGAATATTCAGCAGCACATTGGCCTGATCACGTACGAAAGATGGGTTTGACTTCAACCCAAAAAGAAACCTACCGAGTGCATCGATTATACGACATGACCGACAAACCGTTCTCAATGTGGTTTCCCATTTTTTGGAAGACAGTCAGACCATACAGAGAAACTTCTGTAATGAGTGCACTACATCTGGCAGCATTCAATGGCCATGAACAGGAGGTACATTTAATACTTGGTGGGGATGAAAGTGATGTCAATACACCTGATGATACAGGAATATACCCGGTCATATGGGCTTCATTGAATGGACATGATAGGACTGTGGAACTTCTGCTAGATCGAGGAGCCGATGTCAACGCCCAGGGTGGATACCACGGAAATGCCCTCCAGGCTGCTTGTGCTAAAGGACACGATAAGATCGCACAGATACTGCTAGAGCGGGGAGCCGATGTTAACGCTCAGGGTAGTGAATACGGAAATGCCCTCCAGGCTGCTTGTGCTAAAGGACACGATAAGATCGCACAGATACTGCTAGAGCGAGGAGCCGATGTTAACGCTCAGGGTAGTGAATACGGAAATGCCCTCCAGGCTGCTTGCTCTAGTGGACACGATACAATCGCACAGATGCTGCTAGAGCGGGGAGCCGATGTTAACGCCCAGGGTGGATACCACGGAAATGCCCTCCAGGCTGCTTGCTCTAGTGGACACGATACAATCGCACAGATGCTGCTAGAGCGAGGAGCCGATGTCAACGCCCAGGGTGGAGTATACGGAAATACTCCCCAAGCGGCTCGTCGAGGAGGGCAACACAGTATAGTGAAACTTCTCCAAGGACAGCATTGTCCTGATCAGTCGACCTCCCAACCTCCCCCTTCCAAAAGGCTCAAGGTTTCATCATGATCCCACTTACCATGTTCAACTCAAATTTTTATAGTACCCGGATATCTAGATTGGTTTTCTCTCCCTAGATAGTTGTGCTGTGGTTCTTCCTCTCAGTACTAAAATAGTTTGTCCATGATCCATAATCCTTGATCCAGCCATTTAAACAATAATGGTATAAGAAGTACTGAAACCAAATAAACCTGCTTGGTCTTCTCAGTCGATCAACCTTTGTCTCACTCAGTCAATTAAAGACCTTTCCTCTCATGAAGTAAGATACTGTTGGCATGGGTCTAACCTAATTAGGCAAGGTCACTCTTGGCACTCCATTTTCAAATACACGGACCATTTACTATGGTATCGCAGGCATGGTGGAATCCTCGGTGGTAGTTGCAAGATCAGGGGCAGGCATGGTGAAATCCTCGGTGGTGGCAGTGGCAATGGAAAGCATGGTAGAATCCTCGGTGGTAGCAGGCATAATGGTGGAGAGAAAGAAGAAGCAAGTTGCAAAGTGGGAGGAAGCCTGTATATATAGCTGTCTATTTGCATGCAAACAGTGCAAATACCGCATATCTTGCTTAGCTATCTAGCAAACAATGTAAACAATGCATTGAATGCAAACAGTAAGCAAGTAAGCAAACGAGCAAGTAAGCTAGATCGGGTGATCTCTGAATAGCTTCATGTTTGATAGATCAGGTGATCATGTTAATTATTATGGGGAATTAACTAACTAGTGAAGAGGGAAATGCACGATAGGCAGCCTGGCCATGCAGGCAAGACGAGGACGACACAACAACACCAACCATCCAGGGGGGGTCAGCTAGCAAGCATAGGGATCACATAGACCACACCATAGCATATAATCTCCTAGTACACAAACATCTCGCAACTCGTTTTTCATTCTTGGGGTGATGATCCGTCTAGACTACTTGCTCCCCGAAACTCTACTTGACAACCAGGCTTTCGTTTTCTCTGCCTGAAGGACAAGGCCACTAAACTAGGCATCCCGACTTTCCCCACTGCACTAGTTAACTATAAATTAGAAAGAATGAATTTAGAATATCTTATACTACTTTATACTAGATTAGGTTCCAGAACTCTACTTTCTGCAGACCGACCTCGACTATGCAAGCAACTGTAGTCCACAGTCCCAACAGAAAGTTCTCCCAATGAATACGCCCGCCACTTTCAAGCTTCTTCGAATCGAACCGAACAATCTGCATCACAATAGAAACGGTCCAGACCGCCATCCAAGAGAACCACAGCCAGGGAGAGTTGATTTTCAACACAACATACGGAATCACCGCGAGTGGTAGAGCACCCAGGAAGGCGAGGAATAACCGGATGCGTTGCCCCGCGACCACATAGGCAGAATTGATATTCATCTTCCGGTCGTCGACACTGTCCTGGTGACTGTAGGCGGTGTTGAAATAGAGGCACCAGAAGAAGATAAGAAGGCAGATCGGGGTGCAATGTGTGAAGATCTCAGACATGGACTGCTCTTGCCCGTTGATTGAGGCCCAGCCTGTTATCGATGGGTAGGCGACGGCCAAGCCAAGGATATACTGGGGGTAGATGAAGACTCTGCTGAATACGGGTCGTTTCAAGTAGGGATACAGCATGATACTGGCTGTCAAAGGCAGCATTAAGCCCCATCTAAGAGGGATGGACGGGGTTAATCAAGTTGTGCTCTTCCATGCGGCCGGAGTTTTATCACACTGAATGTCAGACTTACATGCTTCTGTTATCCAATATTAAGTCCAGCATTTTCACCGACAGAAAATACTGACCGACCATCCATACCAGGGCCTCGACGGTTGAGACTTTTCCAGATGCCAACGGCCGCATTTTTGTCCTTTCCACCCTGGCGTCAATATCACGGTCTATCAGGTCGTTCCATGTGTTCCCAGCACCGCATAGTAACAAGCAGTGAACAAAGCACAGGCCGGCTTTGAAGAGGATGTACTCGACAGAGAGACTGGCGGGATCCTCTTGCAACTTTAAAGCGCCAGCAATCAAGGTAGACCATACTGTTTTGTCACGGAGATTTCAAGTTAATACTTTATTCATGAGAGAGCTTGGAATGGTGCTCTCCTTACCAGCGGCCATCATCGTGTAGTAGGGCATATATCGGTTGAACCGCGAGGTGCTGATCAGAAGACAGGCAAGGTCCCATGAACCAGGGTTCTCCATTGAACCAACCATGTTGGTGAATGCAATGCAATAAAGTGTTAGAGATTGGCAAATATCCTTTAAAGACGGAAACTCAAAAACTTTGCAGATGAGCTAGAAAATCGGGCTGTCCTTGAGAACTATCAAAAGTTATACCCGGTATCGCAGCACAAAGCACTTCTAGGGGAGACATCCTGTACTATAAGAGACCCGGTTTTTCCACATTGCCGCATCATCCTGCAGTTTTCTGCCCCCACGTTGCCGTATCCACGTTATGGTGACTATCAGAAAAATGAATTTCTAATGACCATGCATGAGAATAACATAGACGGTGGAACGGGTGCATGAGTGACGAGGAATGCTCCGTCTTACCGCAGCGAGAGCTACCGTGGAGCCTATCGTGACCGAGCTGCTTCCTATACCATAATGCATCTACACCAATGCATCTACACCAAAGTACTAGGTAATATGCGGGCAGTATTTACCGTACATGTATGTACTTTTGGAGAAGCACTGTATAGTACGGAGTATATCTGAATAAATAATAATAGGGGGCCAGCCAGGCCCATGCAAGAGACTCAATGGGTATAAGATTAGCCCCACGATACAACCCCGCGGGACTCCATCCTTTGCAGAATGCTTACTAGATCCATAGATGTGCATACATATGGAAGGGCAATAATACAAAGATGTAAAACAGTTACGGAAAATCTCGAATAAGATAAATGTAATATCATCTTTGTTTTAGACGTCCACGGTACATGTGATACCTGGGTCTACGGTTGAAATAGAATAGTTGCCTCGTGTCTTTTTTTCAGTTTATCTTGCGTATAATTGGGTGCAAGGAGAGACGGATAGTATACAATGACCTAATGATCAAGAATAATTCGGGCTTTGCTTCAAGCCCGCCTGAATTTCGATGTTCTACAGTACTTGTATTATGACCAGCTAGTTACATGTAAATGGCGTCACATAAATAGCCCCTTTCTATGGGCCTTGGGGCCAGTAATCATTTAAATATCAGAGCTTTCTATATGGGATTGAGATACCCTTCAAAACTACAATATCCACATTATGGATAAAGGCACATCTTTCTTTACAACTCCCTCGTTCTCTGCAACCACCAGAGCTATTTTCAATACCATGCCGCAATGGTTTTCATTTGCAGTGGGCTTGTTGATTGCGTACCCCCTTCTTATCAATTCGCTGCGCTATAGACGACTTAAACAGCTACAAAAAAAGTTCTACTTCCCGACACGCGAGTCTATGGCTAAGATGACAGACGAAGAAGCATTCCAGATTCAAAAAGAAACGGCGCAGCTAGAATTCCCATTCATGTTTGTGAAAGCAGGGCAGTTTGCTTTATTTCGGGTACGCAAATATATACACCAATCTATATTTTTCTTATTCTAACCTCCTCTAGACTTACGGCATTCCAACAATCTCCCACCTTCTCATAAAGACAGGGCAATTTTCTAAACCAGAAACCTCCTTCAAGCGCTATACAGACACAGCCGCCCTTATCGGCGAAATGGTAGAAAATAGCCCTACCTCGCAACGGGCTTTTCTCTCTGTAGCCCGCACGCGTTTCCTACACAGCGGCTACCAAGCTTCAGGCAAGATCCTTGATACAGATTTGCTCTACACACTTGCGCTCTTTGCCGTCCAGCCTGTAAATTTCATCGCGGCATTCGAGTGGCGGCCGCTAAGTGATTTGGAACGCTGTGCTATTGGAACGTTTTGGAAGAGTCTAGGTGACGCGCTAGGTATTAGTTCTGACATTCTCCCGTCAGGTAAGACGGGGTTTAGGGATGGAATACATTGGCTCGAGGAGGTGGATACTTGGAGTCAGGAGTATGAGGTCAAGTATATGGTTCCAGATGCTCAGAATCGGGAATCAGCGGATCAGGCAACAGCTGTGCTGCTTTATAATTTGCCGAAGGTATTCCATCCGGTGGGATTGCAGTTCACTTCGTTCATGATGGATGACCGGCTGAGGAAGGCTATGTTGTATGTGGAATAGTAAGATCTGATCTTATAAAACGAAATATCGAGCGCTAACATCAACTAGATACGAACCACCAACGCCATTCTGGACAAAAGTCTTCTCTGCCCTCCTAATAACCCGCACATTCATTCTCCGCTACCTAACACCCCCACGACCTTTGATCTTCGCGGTGTCAAATACAGCCAAGCAACCCGATCCAAACAACCGCTATTACCGCAAATCTTGGGACGCACTTCCCTACTACGTGAAACCAACATTTTGGAATAGATGGGGTCCAATGGCGTGGGTTTCCTGGGCGCTCGGTCATCCTGTCCCGGGCGACCAGGGTGAGAAGTACTATCCGAAGGGGTATCATATTCACGATATCGGGCCGAAGTATTTTGAAGGAAAGGGGCAGAAGGCAATTGAGGAGATGATGAAGGAACTGAAGATTTCTAGGACGGGAAAGTGTCCTTTTCATTAGTTTAAAGCAAGTCTTATGATTTAGTGAAGTTCAGACCGCATGGGATACTTGGAAGAAAAGCAGATCTGTACAGCCTACTAAACTCTTAGATTGTAAACTGAAAGACAGAGTAACTTCGTTTTCTTCCTCCTTGTTGCGGCCAGGGCCGCTTATTGGCACACCGTCGTGTTCCAACTTGTCAAATCTCCAGCGTTAGTGAACCCGAACATATCCATTTTCTCGCCCGTTCTGGATGTTGTAGATATAGCAAGACCTCAATATAATCTTCAAATTGTAATATTCAATGCGGAAGCAAAATTTGAATCTAAATCTAATCCTTGTCGCTATAACCCTTAGAGTGAATGTGTCTTTTCAAAAATTCATACCCATCAGCCACTGCTTCCTTCGCATTCTGGCCAGCATGAGAGCTCGGATAAAGATCAAATAGATGCACCGCTCCCTGCACCACCCTGATATCTGCCTCAATGCCGTTTTGGGTCAACGCGTTATATGTTGACTCGGTCTGCGCGCACGGGACAAGGTCATCGCTTGTTCCATGAACCATAAACGTAGGTGTTCGGTACCGCCCGATGCGGATCTGATAGTTTGGACTAACTGCCTGAATCTCTTCGTCTGTCGGACGAGGTAGTTCATCAGGTATGCGAAACTCTTTGTGCATGCCTCCCAACAGCACAGGGAGGGTTTGTCCCGTCCAATTCATGTGCAATGCAATCCGACTACGCGGGTCGCTGGTTGACATCCAGCCCCCTAGTGGCCGTTCCTTGAACGCTGGATTATAGCCTTTGATCGGGGCGCTCTGCACGCCTTCCCAGACATCGTACTCTATATCATTTGACGCGACAGTCTGTCCAAAGGGGAAGTTTGGCCTCGACCAAAATGGATCTTCATAATCGGTTGGACAGTAGAAAGCCAATATGGCCTCTGGAGCGGCGATACCCACAGCGGGAGCAGTAAAAGCCAGCGTCATTGCGAGATGACCACCAGTGGACCACCCGATAGCCACAACCTGGTTGCCGTCCGGTCGGATATCTGGACGTAGCAAGGGGATATTTGGGAGGATGCGGCGCACCCAACCTAGGGCGTCGCGCACGTCGGCCATAGGGCCTTCTGAAAGGCTAACCTCAGGGCACAGGCGGTAGTCAACACTGATGGGCAGGAATCCGGCATCGAGAAGGGTCTGTGTCTGGGCAGGACGGATGTCTTTACGAGATAGCATGACGTGGCCACCTCCATGAACCATCAGAGCTGAAGAGGGTTAGCAAATGAAAGTATGAAATGGAGTTATTACAAGGGACAAAAGATGAATTTGAACTTACCACATGCTCGTCGTTTCTGCGTGGTGTCAACCACGTCGGGATAAAATATATCAGCCAGCAGCTGCAGACCATTTCTTTCGCCCCAAACAACAGTTTCCATGTTTGCCGGCTTGGAGCAAATCTCCAGAGCAGAAGGGGCCTTCGTCGGCGATGCGACAATAACGCGCAGAGCATTTGACTCTACAGCCTCATTATTCGTCCAGCCCACCCACTCGAAGCCAGATTGGCGAAGCGTCTGATCCCAAAGATCTTCAGTGGCCAGCGCGTGCTTCCGACCGTCCTCAAACCGCCACCAGCCCTCCAGGAGTCCGAACACAAGATCCAACCAGAATATGTCACGCGTCAGCTCAACGAGACACAAGATCCCATCAGGCCGGAGGAGCTTGCGGATATTTGAGCAGGACTCGACGAGATTTCGGGTAGCATGGACGCAGTTGGTCGACAACACAATGTCGTATTGGCCGTGCAAGAGCGAGGGAGGGCTACTCTCCACGTTAATAGTTTCGTACCGTACGAAATCATACTTGGAAAACTTCTTCCGCGCGGCTGCAACAAGCGATGGCGAGATATCCGTGAATGTATACTCCATGCGTGTCGCCATTCCGGGGAGGGCCGAGAGCTGCTCGAGGAGATTCTTGGTAGTGCCTCCTGTGCCGGCCCCGATCTCGAGGATTTTAACCTGCCGACCGTTTCCGAGAGTTTGAATGACATCCGTGAGATACTGTGCGAGGTAGAGGTTACCCGACTTGAACACCGGGGAGTCCGTATAGACATCTCCTACCAGGCGCCGAGTCTGGGAATCCTGGAAAATTAGCGATACCCCGTCCGCTTGCCCGGTCAGACACTCAGCCAACCGCGAGCCTGTGATCTGTAGAAGATCGTGCTCCAGTGCATATGGAGGGTGTTCATCCCGGATCTGGGCATGCAAGGCGTGTGATGAGAGCGGCGAGATGGGTGTCGCTGTGCGCACGAGTTGACCAGTTGGAGTTTGGCGCACGAGGTTGACGGATTCCAAAATTGTATACAGGTGCTTCTTCAACTGCTCGTGGCGAGGTAGGACGGAAATAATAGGAAGGACCTCATCTGCCTGACTGGACTCTAGCGGGGAGCCCAAGGCGCGGAATGCTTCCAGGATGTACGCCGTGATGAGTGTCATTTGTTGCGGATAGATGGCATTGAAGAAGCCGGCCCAGTCGGCATTGTGTGTGTGGGATACCGCGGCGTGAGTCTCATAGAAGCATTGGTG